AAAAGTAGTTTCAAGTTAGTTAATTCCTAACTAACTAATATTTACAACAAAATATCAAATGCTAAAATCCTCAATCAAGGAATCAAATTTAAAACACCATTTTTAGTAGTCAAAAACATAACCCAATATATCTTTTTAGGAACTCCTTTTATATCAATATTAAAACCTTATAAAGTAACCCATCAAGCAATAAGTACTAAAATATTAAAATCAAAAATAAATTTTCTTTTTATATAAAAACTTAGAATTAGAAACCTAAATCTATTTAAATCTTTATCAATTCATACGGATCAAATCAATTCATTTATAAACCACAAACAACAATAAATTACTTACTTAAAAGAAGAAATTTCTTTTGAAAAAATAAATCAACAACTAAACACCAAAGAGGTCAAACAAAAGATTGAAAAAATCAAAGCTGAAATAGAAGAAACAATTTGCTCGAATATCCCAAATGCTTTTTGAGAAAGAAAGAAACATCAAGTCACCCTACCTTATACAAAAGATTTTGATGAAAGACAAATTCCTACAAAAGCTAGGTAATCCAAATGAATAAAGAAATGGAAGAATTTTGTAAAAAATAAATTCAAGACTTATTGGACAAAAAATTAATTAGGAAAAGCACTTCACCATGAAGCTGTTCTGCTTTCTATATGATTAAAAACGTAAAAATAGAAAGAGAAACACCGAAATTAGTTATAAATTATAAACCATTAAATAAAGCCTTAGAATGGATCAAATGTCCTATCCCAATTAAGAAAGATTTACTCCAAAAACTCTGCAATGCAAAAATCTTTTCAAAATTTGATATGAAATATGAATTTTGGCAAATGCAAATCAAAGAGTCCGAAAGATACAAAACAACCTTCACTGTCCCTTTTTGACAATACGAGTGGAATGTAATACTTTTTGACTTAAAAAATGTACCATCAGAATTCTAAAAGATAATGAATGTAATTTTTAACCCATATTCCCAGTTCACTATTGTATATATAGATGATATTCTAGTTTTT